ACAGTATATAAAGATCAAATCCATTACATTACCAGTCTCCAAATGCAGACCTTGAAGGATATGCCAGCTAGCGGATGGTTAAGAGTTTCAGCATATTGGGCCGGACTCCAAAACCCTCAAGCCAGTTGGTAATTAACAGACATCTAGGTCCTCCACATGAAAGAAGTCTATTGTTTAAACAGTGACACAAATTTTTCCTTTCCTTTTCATAGCCAGTCTCTGACTGTGTTTTAAGATTCCCTTAGGACCACAACAGTGTATGATTTTAGAAGCTCCACTTCTCAAACAGACAATTTGTTTGACTTTTAGTTGCCAGGAATGCAAACGTGCTTACATCATAGGTAGAACAAAATCATTTTACAAGCTGAGCAGCTTCTCAGAGATCCCAAATCTCCCCTTTCTTTGATTTAATAGCTGGAAAAATCAGTATCCAAATAACCTAGTAATACCTAATCCTAATGTATCCACAATAGCAACAGAATTACAACAGACAACACTGAGGGCCTGTAAATAGTCTGTGACAAGTCCAATTAGTAAGCAAGGCACCTACAGGGAATAAATATTAGTATGTATCTTCACAAATAATGATGGGTTACAGAAGAACTTCTATGATAAGTCAAAGGATGGCCCACTGAACAAGCTTTGTAAAGAAGCAATGATCTGTTTAAAATTATGTGTCTCTGATCTGTTATCTTAGTTAAGGTAAATAAGATGGGTGAAAAACAAAAGATTACTTATAAATTATACTTCAATGTAATAAAACATTATGTTAAACTTGCATTTTGAAATAATGAGGTGTGGACACTTATCTATAAGAGATCAAGTTAAATCACAAAGAAGGGTAATAGGGAGGATGTGACAGAGAAGGAGCAGGCAAAAGTACTCATACTTTAAGAAGTTAAAGATACTTTAAGAAGAGTCAATAAAACAAACAGCCAATCCAGGCAGAAAAGGGCAAAAAGGTAAATGAGAATTATAGAATATTTTCCAAATGCCCACAGCTTTCTGAGGTCCATGGCTTTGACTGCTTTGCTATTTTCTGGAGTCTGACCTATGTCTCTGTATCTCACCCAAGCCTGTCTGGCCATATGAGGATACACCCAAATCCCTACCTCATTCAAGATGACAAAAGCTCCCCGGAGAAGAGAACTGGATGAGACAGTTCCTTTTGGAACAGCTTCATCTCTTCCCACTCGAAGGAGCCATTTGCGTTCTCTCTGTCTATGCAATCGTTCATCTGAAGTCTCTAAATACAACCAGAACTATGTAACACAAAAGCCTAATTCAGCAACTCATTCAACAGCACCATTCACCAGGACAGTCAGCCCTTTCATTGTCACCCGAACAAAGGTGACAGCAAACACGTAAGCACGTGGAATGGGCTGTCCTCACCTCTGGATGCAGTTACTCAGTCCAGGTCCAAGCAGAGCCCCACGAAGCTGACACTGCTGCTAGAGGAGGGCTGCAGGCAGGTTACTGGGATGTCAGATCAGCGTCGCTTATGAGCTTCTGCCACCTAACAAGTTTGGGAAGAACTGAGCTCACTGGCAGAATCTGCTCCAATGCTGCAGAAAGGCAGTCTTACAGTTCTAGAAAAAAGCAAAACCAAGGAAACTCAGGTATGTTTCAAAACTGACTCAGGAGTCATTAATCTTTGTTTTAAGAAAGACATTATTTCCCATCCCTTTTGCTTTAAATGACAAGCAAACTGTATTCGTAAACTCTGTTTTGTCTGTGGCATGCAGTCACGTGCTTCCAGCTTCGTCCATCACTCCCAGTTGCTAATAAAAGCTTTTTAATGCTACTGATACTTCATAGGGAATAACACAGATTACACCAGCTTTACCTCTTCACTACACGTCCTCTGCATTTGCTTCCTAAGATACAGAAAATTGCCTTTCCAATCACGCTGACATAAAACACATTTATATTTGCGTGAATAATGCAAAACTCTGACTTCAACCGGTCTTAAATCCCATTTTAGTAGATTCCTTGTATTAGGTCAGCCTCGGCACTTCCCCGCTCTCTTTTCGGGAGCCAGGCCTCACCCTGAGTGACGAGCACGGTGGGTGTTGGCTGCCAAGTGCCAGAGACCCCGCTACAGCAGAGGGAATGAGCTCCAGCAGCTCGCTCAGAGCAAAGCGGCTGCTTTCCTCAGGGCGGCAGGGTAACACCACTGACTCCTTCCAAATAAAACCCTCATCGCGGTCAGATTCCTAATACTTGACATTTCAGTGGGCTTGCTTGTGACCACGAAGCATATGGCAACATTATCATCTCAAAACTCCAAGCATTTCCAACCGTATCCATGAAGCAGACATATACAATCCTGTCACCCAACCGTAAATATGATTATTTAACAACTCATCGTTTATGAGATTGCTATGCCATCTCCATATTGCTGATTAATGCTTACCACATAGTTTCAAAGCGTGCCAGCAAACACAGGAGGCTATTTAGGAGGTATTTAAGGGAGGAAAACTTTATAAGGAAATCACCTTTTAAAATGACTTCTAATTAGTACAATCATTATAGTGCTTGGCTCCATCTTCTCTGTATTTGGTATGTTCCTCATACAGAATTCATAGTGCCACAAGTGTTTCATAACATTCAGTAACATTCATAACATTCACTTGCACATATACTAATAATTCGGTAAAATGAAATTACTTCATCTGCAATCATCATGTCCTAATGCAGTATATTCCCACGAAAAGCTTGTGCTTTAATTTTAAAATAAACAATTACAGGAGAGAAATCTCTCTTTTTAAAATATAAAGTACTGTTCTTGTTGGGAGATTTGTCAGCACATTAGTAATGCTGAGCCACCCTGTTCCCAACAATGTTATTGTTAGTTGTCTCATTTCTCTCTGTAGAGTTCGGCAGTACTCATGGGCTAATCAGCGAACTTCAAACACAGGCACAGATGTAGGCATGCCTATGTAAACATTTAAAAGGTTTTATAAAAAGTACAAAGCAGATGCTGGACACCAAAATCTTCTGGAGGATCCCGGGTCTGACCAGAGCTCCAAAGCACGTAAACATAGCATTCCCACAGACAAGTTAAATTTCAACCTCTCCGCCTCTCAAACTGAAGAAATACTTCTAATAGTATCCCCAAGATTGGAAATGCTTTGACAATTATTTGAGCATATTGTTTATCTCTCCAGTTTAAAGCAGTGGTAAAAAAAGAAGTGACAAAAAAGCGATGACCAACCACTCTCCCCATGTTTTAAGAGTAGGTTAATGTTTGCCCCTCTAAAAAATCCCTTTACGTGGGATTTACGCAAACACTTGTAATGCTGCTAAAAATTTTAAGGGCAATGTAAACCGCTTTATTTTCACACCGAATCAAAAAAGGTGGTAGTAATTTAGCACTTCACAGGGTACAGCTGCCACCAGCAAAGGCACATGGCAGGGGCCAGCAGTGGAGTTCAGCAACTTATCCACAGACTGGATATTAAGAAAAATTTTTTCACTGAAAGGGTCATCAGACATTGGAATGGGCTGCCCAGGGAGGTGGTTGAGGCGCCATCCCTGGAGGTGTTCAAAAGACAGGTTGATGTAGTGCTGGGAGGTATGGTTTAGTGATGGTGATGCTTCTTGTTTGTTGTGCGGGTGTCTATTTTTGTCAGTTAGGTTGACGGTTGGACAAGATGATCTTTGAGGTCCCTTCCAACCTAGAAGATTCTGTGACCAAACACTTTAAGTGGTGGACTGGATCAAAGGCCTTAACAGCCCTCAGTAACTGGCTTTTATTCTCCCACCCATCCGCCTGCAGCCCCACAGAGCTCAACCAGCTGCCAGGACCCCTCCGGCCAAGACAACTCCCCACAGGGACCTAGCGACTGCTTGGGATCCATGCCAACTACAGGAGGCCCCACAAGCGTGGGTGGGCACAGCAGGTCGCCTCGCCTCACCTCACCTCACGCCACATCACAGAATCACAGAATCTTCTAGGTTGGAAGGGACCTTAAAGATCATCTTGCCCAACCGTCAACCTAACTGACAAAAATAGACACCCACACAACAAACAAGGAGCATCATCACTAAACCATACCTCCCAGCACTTCATCAACCCATCTTTTGAACACCTCCAGGGATGGTGCCTCAGCCACCTCCCTGGGCAGCCCATTCCAATGTCTGACAACCCTTTCAGTGAAAAAATTTTTCCTAATATCCAGCCTGAACCTCCCCTGGCGCAACTTGAGGCCATTTCCTCTTGTCCTGTCGCCTGTGACTTGAGAAAAGAGACTGACCCCCATCTCTCTATACCCTCCTTTCAGGTAGCTGTAGAGAGCAATAAGGTCTCCCCTCAGCCGCCTCTTCTCCAGGCTGAATAACCCCAGTTCCCTCAGCCTCTCCTCATAAGACTTATTCTCCAGACCCCTCACCATCTTTGTCGCCCTTCTCTGGACCCGCTCCAGCACCTCAATGTCTTTTTTATGGTAAGGGGTCCAAGGCACCATATCTCCCCACCACCTCAAGCCAGGCAGGCCCCACCGAAGCCCAAAACCACGGCTGGGGACATCCCCTCTGCCTCATCCTAATCCCCCCCCCCCTTCCCGGCTTCACCGCTCGCCCCGCCCCCAAGATGGCGGACGCACCTCCTGTCTCTCCGCTCTCTCCTCCCCCCCGCTCCCTCCGCAGCCACATGGCCCCTGCCCTTTCTCCCTCCAGCCCCGCCCCTTCGGCCCCCGCCGTGCCCAATAGCAACGAAGAAAGCCCCACCTCCTGCGCGCTGCCATTCGCTGGCGCCGCCCGGCCCCGCCTCGCGCGTGCATAAACCCGGAAGGGCCGGCGTCCAATCATCAGAGGATTTGCACCGCAGGGGCGGGGCTATCGGCTCTGCGCATGCGCCCTCTCTCCCCCCACCCAGCCCGGCGGCGAAAGGGGCGGTGTGGGCCTTAGCGCGCAGGTGCACTGCGGGGGTGGGGGGGTGGCCTCCCTGGCTGGGCGGCGCCCCCTGGCGGGCAGCGGCGCAGTGTGCACGGGCGCTGAGGGGGAGCGCGGCGCGGTGCTGCCCGCAGGGACCGTTAAGCCGGGGGGGCGGGCTCGGGGAGCGGTGGCGAGTGAGGAGAGAGGGAGGGCGACCGGCCGAAACTCGCTTTCCCCCCGGGAAGGGAGGCTGCACCCGGGAGCGCCGAGGCGGCGGTGAGTAACGCCGGGTGCGGCAGGCGGGGCTGTGTGGGGGTTGTTATCCGGCGCGGGGGGGGTCGGCCCGGCCCGGCGTCCTCCTGGGTCCCCACAGCCCTGAAGGAATGAACGGAGGGGGTTGGACGACACGCACCGGATGACCCCCGCTCCTCAGCGCGCCGGTTTGTCTTTGAGTCGGCGCTGTGCGTCTTTGATCCTTCTCTCTCCTTCATCCCCAGATCAGCTGAGGGACCTTGGGCCAAAGGAAGGCTGAAGGTGCTGGGGCCAGGCCACGAGTGGCCCAGGACGGCCCCCAGGAAGAGGTTCCCCTGCCACGGGTTGTCCCCTGCCACATGTCGGCCGTGGGCCCCCAGCCTGAGGGGCAGCACAGCTCCTGTCCCCAAGCCCCTCCAGGGACAGCAAGATCAACCCACCTGAGCTGGGCTTGATGCTGGTGGTACCCCAACGAGCGTAACAGCCCTCCCTGCAGCCGCCCCGGAAGATGGAAGAAAAGAAAAGTAAGCCTTAAATTAAAAAAAAAAAACCAAACAAACCACGTGTTTTGAGCTGTCATTAGGCAGGTCTTGTGAGAAGCTTTTCTAGAAATCAACACTCTTCACTCTAACCTGGTTTCCCAGTCAACCAAATGAAATTTCTGTGCCAGAATGAATGGAAATGTTTTTTCGGTTATAGCACAGAAAAGATTAACTACCTAACTTGTAAGTAAGGTGTCTTTTATGTTTGCTGTGTCATTAGTGATGGTAGAAATTTAGTATCTTCAGTACAGTCACAGAATGCTGCCTTACTTCTTAGTGTTGTCACAGTGGAGATATCTTGCTTTATCTTGCATCTGTTGAGCAACAGACTCAGTAATTTTTTTTACCTAAAAAAGCCTTCATTTTCTCCTAAATAAATTAGTTTAGTTGCAGTACTGCTGTACTGACAGCATTCATTAAAAAAAAAAAAAGAGAAATGGGAGCTAATAGGAAGTGGGGTTATGTATGGAATGTGTGGGTCATCTCATAACAGCTTCATTCTTGAGAGATAATAAAAAATGGCGTATGTAAAAAAAAAATTCTTCACACAGCTTGTTTCATTTGTGTGTTTTTCAGCTAGGTCTTGACAAGACGTGGGGTAACTATTTGAAAGTGGGATGACTATTTCCCTACAACGCTTTCTCACACAGTGCTCCTACTGATACCTGCTGTAGTATTTACTTGTTTAAATTTCGAAAAAACTAAGTAGCTACAACCATTTTAATTTCTCACCTGATCTCTTTCTTACTTGTCCATTCTGCACGTCTTGCGGCGCTGTGCGACTGCTTTGAAGTGGAGAACCTTTCCAGCTCCAAGGAGGAGAGGACTGAAGGTAGTGTAATGTGGGTTTAAGGAGGAAAAGGTAGTATATGTTTGTCACCGCTTCTGGTGTGAAAATGATAACCAGAAGACAGTAGTTTTGCCTTTTATGGTGTATGTGTAAGATGTTAGTCAGCAGCTCTGCAGGTCCTTGGTAGGAAACACATACCCAAGTATTTTTTCTGGTAGCTGGTATAAGTAGCCCTGGCCTTGGCTGCTTGTTTCTTGTTCTACCATCATTCCCCTGCAGCATGCTGAAAAGAGAGCTATATGGCCACAAGGATCCCATAGAGGGAAAAGAAAATCCCTGCAGAGGTAATGGCCTCAGCCAGGTTTAAAACTATTGCCATTGGATGCCAGTCCACACCCTGAGTCATCAGTTGGTGACATCATTTTGGATGCTGGCAATGTAGATGCATCCCGTATCCTGTTCATTCCCTGTCTCCTCCTGGCTGGGATTGACAGTAGCAGCACTAACAGTGGAGGAGAGATTAGTGACGTGGACATCTGTCTTTTTTGAAATTAAAATTAGACTATGAGCTTCATACGCCATCTTTTCTTCTCCATGCAAAACCAAGTTTTTGCTGTTAGAATTTCAGGGCCCTCCAGCATGAATGTTAGGGAAGTGTTTCCAAGGTGAGTGAGTGGTTTGAGCACTACACATAGTAGTATATGGTTTATTTCCTTTTGGCCCACACAAGATTATAACTTATGACCCAGAAATGAAGAACTGTGTTCTGTCAGCCGTACTCTGAAGTAATCTATCCACCAGTGCTATCCAGACTTAGTAAATGTATTGAAGTATTAGAAAATAGATAAGAAATAAGGACAGCAGTTTTAATCTGCAGTGATGAAACTCCTTACTAGAATTTCTGAATCTGTATTTTGAAACATAGATACTAAATATACTTACTTCTCCTGGTATTTTAAATTTGTGAAACTGTTATGCACATCAAAAGGGTGGCACAGGGCAGATGTTGTCTCTTGGAGCAGTAGTGTAGGTTTCCAGAAAGTGTTGTGGGCATTTTTTAATGGGACTTTGACCTCTTCACATATATTTTTTTTTATTTCTTTGAATATGTAAAGCTCATGAAATCTGGCACTAACTCTCAGCATCATCAGTTGTTTTACAGGATAAAGTACTTTCAACATTGCCTGTTGGTATTAAATATTATGCCCTTAGCTGCTGGCAACGTAACCAGCTGGGGTTGTCGTGACAAAAGATTGTTACTTCTTCACTGCTGTCATGATGCTTTTGAGAGCAACCATAGACCCTGTACTGCCATAGCATGACTTAGCTTCTGGTGTCTTGGGCAACAGAAGCCATTCTCTGCTAATTCAGAAATTAAGGAAGTACTTTTTACTAGACTTACAAGAACACAGCATTTCATGACTGCTGGGGAGATGTCACCCTATGATACTTGCCAACTGAGATTTGCTGTCTCTAGTATGGTGACACTGGACTCTGCCTCTAGAAATGGAGTAGGAAACCAGATTTACTTGTCCTTTTATGCTTAGTCATTGAAGAAGAGAAATGTTAACTGTGAGAGAGGGACGGTTCTCTTTTCTGGCATTGTCTGTTGATGCACTGAATAATATTCCCTTTTTAGAGTCCTTGCCAAAGATGCAGTGCTTATGTTCTAACAAGAGCTTTCAGGAATGGGCTTAGTACCTCAAGGATACATAGACTTGGAAGAAAGGAGGCTCTGAACCGCTAGCTTAAAACACTTTTTTTAAACAACATATTCTTTATAATCTTTTTAGGGGAGGAAGGAGGCGTTATATAAGGGGTGTATTAATTGTTGCAACTGATATCACTTGGTGAACAAGATTTATCAAACTGAAAAGATCTTGAACATTTTTTGCCTAGAAAACAGCGAAAGTGTTGATGGGACAGGATAGTCAGCTTGCATAACTAAGGGGGGTTACACCCATAACAAAAATTTCCAAATGTATTACATTCAGTTCATTCGGTTGAAAATGTTCTCCTGTGTTACTTCTATGAGTTTCACTTGTGACTAACTTGCTGGTGTGTGGAGAAAGGCTTCCACAGCACTCTTTGTAGACGTGCTTGAAAAGTTACTTGAAGGAACATCATGCATCATCAGAAGTAAGTTCAGTTGTCACTTGACTTCTGTTTCACTTTCATTATTAGGGTTAGGAATAGACTTCTGAAGGTTTAAGCCTGCAAAAGAAGACAGCAGTCCTGGCTAATTTTTCAGAAGTGCCTCCCAATGAAATGAGTGGGAGACTGAAAAGTCCACTAGGAGCTACTTGTGGTTTTAGGTTTTTAGACTTCTTGGGAGCTGTACAGACTTGTAAATGGAAATTTGCATTTCAGGTGACTTGAAGACATTTTGGATGCAATTGGGAGGTAGAAGAGTGGACATCATATTTGAGCAGGTGCAAAACGTGCTGCTGTTGCTGAAGCGAAAGATCAAGAATGGAACTGCCACAAACCAAGGTTTGAAATCCTTGTGACAGTTAAGCTGGACTGCAGGGGAGCTGTGGCCTGCTTTGTGTAGGGCTGTGAGATAACATGCCACAATTCAGATACTTCTGAATTTAAATTACTTAGTAGTTGGTGGCTTTAAGCACTTTTAAAAATATATATAACTTATTACAAAAAAAAAAACAATTTCAGGTGCATTTTGCCATTTTCTCATTTTGCCTATATACATTTTCAAACAATGTGTGGCTCTTAAGCACATGGAGCTGAAATGTTTATTCTTGCGAAGTAATGAAATAGCTGCGATGCCTTGTGTTTTGTTTATTGTCAGAAGCTTTAGCCTCTCAAGCTGATCTCAGTGAACTGAATGGTTTTGGGGTGGGATTATAAATATTATGTCAGAGACACCATTATTCTGTTTTGTAGATGTATCAATTAAGGACTGTGGTGCAAAAGGTTTCAGTAGTATCAGTCTTGCAGTGGTCTAGATTAGCATAGTGAGGAAACAAGTGTCTCTGGAGGATTTACACTCTGTTTTCCCTATTATTATTGCTTAAATTACATTTAGCATCTGTTTTGTTTTGGTTTTTTTTTTATAGAATGCTGGCAGGCTTGGACTCTGGTGAATGAAGCTAATTTAGGTGATCTCTTAACCTCAACAAATGGTATGTGCATCTCAATCGTATTTATTTGGTACGTGGATTTATTTTGTCTTGGTTTACTCACCAGGAGCTTATTTCCCTTTGTTGAAATCAATAAAATAGATCTGAGAAGCCTGTTAGCATTACAAGGGAAAAAACGTAATTATTGGTTTACCCAGTTACTGGACTCTGGACTCTCACCTGGGCTTTTGTGGTTTATGTGTATGTGGCTTGTACCAAGTGAAGAGAGTTTGAAGCCCTGATGAACCTGAGCTTGCTGCAAACAGAGTCATCGTGTGTATGGCTCTACTACCTCTAATACCCTGGCATCCTCTTATCTTAAATAATGAAAAGAAATCTGTGTATGTGTTTCATATGTGTGTTGCCTCCATGCACTTTGCAAGCCACATGGAAGATTTTAATGCACAAATCACCTGTTGGTCTGTGAAAGAGGGTAAATTGTCATGATGCATTTCTGCCTCAACCTAAGTTCCCTTTTTGAGAAAACGAAGGAGAAAGAGGGAAAGGAGGAGCAGGAAAGAAAGTATGAGAGTGTGTGTTGTGTGTCAGCTGGTCACTCACTTGCATACTTATATGAAAACACATGACTTTTGTTTAAGTAATAAAAAGCAGCTTTTTTTTTCAGTAGGGCACTTGCTAGCATGCTCTTTGTTAGCTGCAGTTCATAGCAATCCATTGTTTTTAATGTATTTTGGCAATTACCTCCTTAGTAGCTAAAGTAAGTTCGATTATAAATCGAAATGTGGATTGCTGAAGCTTTTCTTGCATTCATGTTTTTTCAGTAAGTGATGTGTTTGATGGAGATGACATACAGGAAACCCAACCCAAATTGCAGCGTCGTCTTACAGATGACAACACTGCAGACGCTGTAGAAAGGTCTCACAGGTCAGTGTATTTAATAGTTTATACCAGTTCCTTATCTGACATACTCTTAAGTGCATTTGAGAGATATTTTAATATCTCTCTTGTATTTCTAAATTCAACATTTTAAATCCATTTTTGAATCCTGCCAATTTTCAAAGTCAAAATATTTTTAACGTGACTTACATGGAAAACCTGAGGTTTTGAGTAGACTTATCTAATTTGCCATGTGAGAATGTTGCAGAATAAAACAGGACATTAGGTTGAGAATAAAGATTCATGAGTAATACCAGGATTATTGGGGTTAGGATTTAACAATTTTTGTGTTTAGTTCTCAGGCTTTCGCAAACTGCAGATTGTCAGACACATGACTTAGTCTCTCTGTATTTAGCCTCAGGTACTGATTTGGAAGATGGGGGTAATGGTATCATATTTTTATTTTTTTTAATGTCCATTATGTGTTCTGGTATGTAAGTTATTTCTGGGAAGAAGCTGTTGCCTTTGTTTTTTAATGCCTTCTGAAGATGTCTTCCTATGATGTTAGGACAGTGACACAGTATGAGCAGTGATTCAGTGAAACCCTTGGCCTTCTAGCAATGGTCTTTTTCTTTCCTGTATTAATAATATTGAACCACTAAATAAATGAGCATTTTACTCGTTGTTTAAGATGCTGCTCTTTTTTCTTTTTTTCTTTTTTTCTTTTTTTCTTTTTTTCTTTTTTTCTTTTTTTCTTTTTTTCTTTTAACCTTTTTTATTCCAAATAGCAAAAAGGAGAACGTAGGAAAAACAGGTTCAGAAGGTAAAGAAGCATCTGGTAAAATTGAAGATTTACCCTTAAACCTGCAGTATAAGAACCACAAGTGCTCTCGTGCGTGTCTTGCCAACAGAGCAGCGGGCTCCTTCAAGGGTGAAAACCCTCTTAAGATACCAATCCTGTTTCACTTCCAAAGACGCCACGCAAAAGCAGACTGCCTTTCCAAATCACTGGATGTGAGTTACAAAGCTCCTTGTGGTCGAAGTCTGAGAAGCTTTCAAGATGTGCAAAATTATTTGTTTGAAACACAGTGCAATTTCTTATTTGTTGATCACTTCTCCTTCAACACATACGTACTGTTGGGCAGGAACACTGTAAATCCCGAACCCCTCGTGTTTGATTTTGATATTAGCAATGGAGCTGAGACTGTGCCCATTTCCTTCTGTAATGATCTCGACCGCGCAAGATTACCTTATTTCAAATATCGGAGGGCGTCGTGGCCGCGTGCATATTATCTCAACAATTTCTCCAGCATGTTCGTTGATTCATGTGACTGCACAGATGGCTGCACTGATAGGTAGGTAGAAAAATCTAATCCCAGACAAGTGATGTGTGATACCTCAATAGTAGGGTGATGGTGTAAGTGTGAAGGTGCCCAGTAACAAATAATGAAGGACCAACGCTGCTGGAATATCTGTGGTAGTTATCTTGTGCCATGCTCTGCATTGACTGACACTGCTGTGTCTTTATCTTCTCCAGAACTTGGGTTCTCCTACCCATCCAGCCTCTGTTTTAGGGAAGGAAGCGATCAACAGGTGCATTAGTGTGTTCCTTTCCCTTTCTTCTCAAATTGACAGTGATTCTCCTCCAGATGAAGCTGGCAAGCTGATCTCTCAGCCTTGGGAACGGAGTAGGGAAGGGAGTCTTGTGCCAGCAGAGGAAGGCTCTTTTTCCTGGCGGGCAGGGAAGGATCCTGCATGACAGCTTCTGCTGCAGCTCCTGCTGTGGGATGGTGTCCTCAAGAGGGATCAGATCATTTGGAACTTAGCAGGTTATTGAGGGCAGAGGAAGAAACATCCTGTTCACAACCACTATATCCCATCTGTCTCAACAGAAACAATGAAACCCTGTGGTCACAGAACACATTTATGCTCTGAGCAGTTCAAATGGTGTTGCTCACTACTGTCTTTAGGAAAAGCCCAGTAACTCTGGGCTACGTGTTACTCTGTGGGAACCCGTCACAGTTAAAGTATGCGAGTTTAGTGATAATTTTGTCCAGTTTTTTGAAGGGTGTTTGTCTTTATCTCTACCTGTAGGTGTTATTTGGTGGTGACTCCATTGTGTATTATTGATAGCCAGGGCAATTGCATGTGCTGATGTGCAGTATAATTCCCCACGACCCAACAAAAGTTTGAAATCACAGCTTAGTGTAATGAAGCTTCAGTAGTTACTTAATTTCAGCTGAATGGTGGGGAACAGGGAGAACATATCATGCTGTGTCTTTGCACTGAACTTCCTCAACAGTTGAGATGTTTTTGATGTGTGTATTTGGGGTTCAGGATTTGATCCGTTGCTGTTCGCACAAACGCTGCGGGTCTTTGGAGATGCCATGACATAAGATGGTAAAGACCAGCATTATTGCTTGAGTTCTCCACTCCACAGTGTGAAATTCTTAACTTCCTGAGGGCTAGGGTGAGAGGAAGGTAATGAAGGAGTGACTAACAGACTGGAATGCTGTGCCAGAACAGGTGATTTTAATTAATTCATTCAAGACATTTGGCAGTGTCCTGTTTATAAGAAATTTCTGTTGTACTTGAGCTGTTTGCATGTCCTTTTTACAGAACTTGGTGGAAGAATGGGTTTGGGGTGGAGAGAACACAATTATTGTAAAGCACGCGTACCCAGGCAAGAGACAAAGAGAAGGGTAGGGTGCCTGAAACGGCCTTATGGAGTAAAAGTGATGGGGGAAAAATAGATATATACAAAACCGTGTGTGTGTGTGTATATAGTCAAGCACATTTTAAATTATCTGGACTTATGTTTGATTTACGCTGCCCCAAATACATTCTGAGATGTTCTACTGTTACCTTCTAGGTCAAAATGTGCATGCCTACAGCTGACTGCAAGAGGCTGTAGTAAAGCGTCTCTCTCTCCACGCAGTAAAACATGCCATGGATACAGTTACAAAAGACTGGAGGGACCTGTTCCTAGTGGGTAAGAAAGACAGAACTATTAACTGTTATTTTATTTTGCTCTTATTTTACTTCTGTAGTTCTAAGTCCTTGAGGACTAAAATAACCGCAGTTTCTGGATTACTGAAACCTACCATTTTTGTCACCAGATCAGGATGATAAAAAATAATTAATGTGACAAGTAATAGGAGCGGAAAAAACACTTTTGTACTGCAGATACTACAATTTTCACAGCTTAATTCAAGGTCCAAGAAGATTGTGAACAGTAATGTAGTATTGGATGGGCTGGGAGCTCAGATTGGGCCACGTGCTGGTTCATTCAGGCATGCCCAAGGGAGAAGGGAAAGAAACCTGCCACGAAGGAAGGAGGTCTATCACAGGACCATCACAGCATGTACCAGCCAAAGAAGCGGGAGGCAGTAGCCACCCTTGTGTCTTGTTCACCCATTTGACCAGGGTCCTAAGGAAATATCAGCCAGTTGCTGTTGCTAGTCTTGGTTACGTGTAACTCTTCTGAGAGCATAGAATGAGGTGCTTCATGGGGGTTGCTGCTTCTGTGTGATTTACTTCAATAAAATAAAAACGTAGCATTTATTTTTCTTGTCTGCTTATACCAAAATCTGGCTGACAGACTCTTAAAATTGATGAATCGGCAATCAAGAGAGTCCTTAGCGTTAAGCACTGCTGCACAATCAGTTTTAGCCAGAGACTTTATCTTTTCAGTCAAGTGCCTTATTAGTGTTCAGGAGGGAAATTAATAATAGCAACTTTGTTTTGGTAATGCATTCTTTTATATTGTGTTTTGTTTTGCTTCCTCTTGACAGAATTTATGAGTGTAGTGTGTTGTGCAGGTGTGACAAGATGATGTGTCAGAACAGAGTTGTACAGCATGGCATTCAAGTCAGGTTGCAAGTGTTCAACACGGAGAAGAAAGGCTGGGCCGTGCGCTGCCTGGATGATATCGACAAGGGGACGTTTGTTTGTACTTACTCAGGTAACAGAAGGTGACCTGTGGGACATGCATAGCATAATTCTCCCTCTCCTGTGGACTGTACCCTGGAATTTTTTTGAGAGCCGAACAGGGAAATAGGGGGTTGGAAGAAAAGTGAGTCAACATAATCTTAACTTGCAAGATGATTGAACAGACAGAAGAACCATGAAGAAGTCTGCAATGTAGTGGTGCCAGACAACAATCAAAGCATTCTGGAGCAAAGCTTACCTCAGACTGTTTATTTTTCCCTCACAGGCCCGTTCATACTGTGGCAGGGCTATGTTTTCCTTGAACATACATGCATTCATGTTTTGCTTTTCCAAATAATGTTCTTGCATTATTTTTTTTTAATGTAAGTTAATAGTGAGTGTGATCCATCTTGGCAAACAAACAATTAAAAAAAAACAAACAACTTTTCTTTTTTTTTTTTTTTCCAGGCAGGTTAATGAGCAGAGATGAAGTTCAAGTATTGGGGGATGCTGGTCAAGGGAAGAGTGCTGTGAACAATACAGCGAGTGGCTTTTTTTCCAAAAAGAGAAAACTTGACACTGATTGTTCAGACTCTGGGGCTGAACTACTGCAAACTGGCAAAAATTACATTCTTGAGAAACAGGAATCTTTGTCTCAGACTGTGGATAATGAGAATAAATCAACCCTGTAAGTTTACCAAAACAAATGTAAGCATAACAAAACTAAAACTCTGCTATCCCTCTAGTGGGACAGAACTTTTCTTCTATAACTTACTTCCTGTGTGTGTCACTTGGCATTTTCTAGAAATCTAGTTTATGTCCTGGGTGTACTTGATCTCTTCAGGGCATTCACCATTATGCTAACTTGAAATACCTTTATCTCAAGTATCTTTTATTAATTATTTGATGACACTGAAGGTTTTGATAACAAGTTAGCTACTAACTGTCCTGTCCTTTACTCTCAGTCTCTAAACCTAGTGTTCTTTGTAACCTTTCCTGCTAGGAGTCTTTACCTTTCCTGTTAAGAGACTGGCAACACATCGCTTTTGCAGTGAATTATGCAAAAATTCTGGTCCTGTTTTCATTTTACAGTCAGGATCTCATAGCCTATCAGGATTCCTAAAATAAAATTACTGCAAAATAAGCACGTGGCTTTATCAACAACATGCTGTAGTCTTTTCAGAAGGAAGTCAGGAGCTTTTTTTCCTAAACTATCCCTTTCTCTGCCACACTGCTTTGTAAACACTTTCTACTGCTCATAAATGATTGCCAATTCTTGCTCATTGCAGAGTAGAAGATTATTGTGGATCTTTGAGAAGAACCATGAAATTGCAAATGGAAACTCTTTAAAATATCTGCCAGTGTGTTCTCACTTGCATTTCATTATCTTGGAAACCTAATGAATTATTCATTTTCTAAATTACATAATTATTGGCAATCAACTGGATTTTACTTCTGCTAAGTGCTTTGACTAAAAATTGCAGGGAATCACAGACTGAAAGTTGCATTTACTGTACTTCTTCCTTAAATCTCATGCATTTCCTTTCCCAAGAATAAAAATGTTTCACATAAGCTGTGTAAAAAAACCAAAAAACAAAAAAACAAAAAAAAAAAAACTCAGACAAAAAGACTTTTTTATCCTGGCTTTTAAGAAATGACAATCCAACTTATCTGAGGGGACATCAGTGTGCTAAACCTGACATGTCGTTGACGCAAACAGATTGCCTTTATAAGAACAATGAAATCATGTCATAATGTCATAAGTTCTTGTGACTACTGCATTTTCTGAATTTACAAAGGGGTTTAAATCATAAGAAAGCCTTGAAGAGTAGTATTTGTTGCCATTATCAGTAATGCTATGGTGGATTTTGTGGCAAGAAAATACATATAAAGGTTGTAACTTTTCTTGAATAAGAGCTGTTACTTATTGCTAGACATTGCATAGATACTAAGATTAATTTTGAAACTGGTGTTTTCTACTGCGCAGTGAAATTAATCCAAATGAATGCAGTTTTTGATGTTGTATATGCCAGATATTGCTTCCTATCCTTCCTCAATCTTCTGATGTGAAGGACGTGAGGTTCTTTTGTGGGAAAGTATTATCTGTATCTGCTGTATGTTGACTGTCTCCCCCTCTATCTCCCTCTCTATCCTTTGTCCCTGCAATATCCTTTCCTGTTTGAAAGCTACACTGCCAAAAATGTTGAAAGTGGTAGCAGAAAAAAGGCAACTCTGTAGGTGCTCTATTTTGAGATGATGTAGTATAATAACTGTAAAACAAAAGATAATTTGGTTCCCAGCAGGAGAACTGGGAAAGTGTCTGAAAGCAGATGCTGATCTCTCAAAAAGTTATGAACAACTGGGGTTTTTTTCCAAATATTATTGAGAATCTAACCTAGGGCCTCAATTCTTAAAAGGCAAAATAGTTACAGAACCTGGGGTGAGGCCAGATTGGAGGCTCTGGTGTACTATGTTCTTTATGAACTAGAGACGGTTAAAGTGTGTGTTGTGAGAGTTATTTAAGGGTCTTTTTGTCTTTTATAATTTCCTTTTGACCTTTCGGTACAGAGTTCATCCAAAGAATTCAAGTATTGCAACCACAAGAAGACCTGAAACTAGAATAGCTGTTTTTCAGAATGACCAGCTAAAAATGGTAATAGTAATAGATTCATTTTTTCACTGTGCTGAATATATATATCTGTGTTAATTTTGACCTTTTCATCTTCTACTTTTAAGCAGTGCTAATGATCTTTCTTCATGAGATTGTCACACTGTGAGCTAAGCTGGTGTGCTGGAAGCTATACCCCATCTCTTCTCCATTATCAGTCCTTCAAGATGTTCCCTGAGACCAGCACTACCTACTCTCACAGCTTTCCCTTCTCCACCCTTCACTTACACTCCAGCCTTGAGAGTCTTAAGAAATCATTCTCCCCTCTCACTCCCAGTTGTAACTAACTGCAAGGTTAGGGGATCATTGTGATAATGTTTTTGTGGTGTGTCCCCAAAGAATGACATAGCAGGGAGAGAAAAGAAGAAGATCTCAGGAGCTGGGTGCAGTTTTCTCATGCAGTGGCACAATTGGGAGAATTTAATCTCATCTGGGTGTGAAGTGTTGCCTGCAAATGCATGCAAAGGAGGGAAACTGGGGTAAACTTACTCTGTAGGTTTCACTGCACTTAAGAAATGCACATGGGATTTTCATGCCAACATTTGGCAGTGCTGTCCATTCTGAAGCTCCCATAACTAATCACCTTTTTATTGTGGGAGAGGAGAAATCTTGCCACTTCTGTTCATTTTCTTGAAACAATCTAAAAAGCATGTTTGGGTTTTGGTTCAGCAACAACAACAAATGTGTTTAAATTCTGATGAAATTGTTGGGACTTAAGCACTTGACATTTTTGTTGAGTGGGAAGATTCTTCCAGGTTATTCTGAAGCATAATTGGAAATTAAGATAAATGTTGCATTGCAGTAAATGTGTGAACTTTTGAAACTCAGCCATAGCTATGCATTACAGTAGGTTCGAAACTTCACCCCTTGAGTCCTAAAAGCCACTTGCTGTCCTGTGTTGACCCAGAGTTGCATACAGCAACAATACATTACAGCCTTTTCATTATCTTTTATTCTGTTTAAAGGAAATTGATACACTGGTGCACAGTGCCAGCTCAGATGAAGATAATAGTTCTCAGATTCATCAGTCAAGCAAAACAAAACTAACCAGTGGAAGAAAGGAAGGAAAAGAAAGTAGGTTTGCAGAGCTATAACTACTGCACTCTTAGTACACTTGTGCCCCATCAGGTGATAGATTTAAAATGTAGAAGGTGATCTTTGCACGTGGAGTTCTTGGAGTAGAATGGTGTTGCCTGCCTAAAGTTTAAGCTGTGTCTAAGAGAGCTCAGCGGTACAGAAATGATAACTGCCTTGCATAATACAGGGCATTAATTGGTACAGGGCAGTCTTTTGCGTGCAAAGTTGATCTTGGGACACGTTGAAGAGACCTGTCAGCAGCTTCTCAAATATAGTGGGAAAGTCAGACTTGCAAATCTTACCGTGTCACAACCAATACATGTTCCAGTCAACAAAACAAGATATAATGTGGGGGTGGGAGGACCTCAAGCTGGAGAGGCAGAGTGAAACTGACTGCTATTTGCACGTGCATCTTGTTTCTGTCTTAATTACGGTGTGTGATTCTCTTGGGAAATTAGGGTGGAGAATGATGAAAAAATGCTATGTGGAAGAAATCGATTTGGAGTGGGATTTGAGAAAAAGGGAGAGACTTGACAGGAGACTTGAACAAGTTCTTTAGGCGTTGCAGCGGCAAACAGTCATTTATGGGAGGATTGTTGAGAGGCATGGAAAAGGACAGTTGTGTTACAGATTGTAAATAACAAGGAAGCTGTGTACATTTTGGAGAACGAAGGGTGGGTGGATAAGAGTTCAGGGCCAAACAAGGAAAAGGCTTTGGCCTTAAACTGGTGTTGAAAAATGTGTTCTGGTGTAACTGGTGTCATGTGTCCGTTGACAGAACCCACTCAGCAGCAGAAGGAAGAACATCCAATGGAAATTGGACAGACTGAGTCTGCTGACATGGACAGTGCAGAATGCAAAAGAAAGCATCTGTCTCTGCAGGGTGCTGACTGTGGCAAGTCAGGTGTGCTGCGTGACACGTGTGTTGTGGGACCATCCAAAAACACAGCACTAAAAGCCAACTGCAAAGAGGAGAATCACAGGCCGTCAAAACAAGACGCGTTTTGTGTGGAGGCTGATGGTGACAGGACGCTTCTGAAGAATGCTAACGAAGACAGTATTTATGTACTGGATGCCACAAAAGAAGGAAACGTGGGTCGTTTTCTGAACGTAAGTAAAAAGTTACATGTGTTCTCTTAGTTGTCTTACCTTAAATAAATAAATGATGTGTTTGCATAAACTAAAAAGCTTTTGCACATAAACCATATATGCAGTAGGTGCATGACAGGCTGTGTGGTGCTCCCTGCACACTGAAGTGACGAACAGCAAGTTGGGTCACACCGGCTGTTAGTGCCTCCATAAGATGATGCATACTGCATACTAGCTATAGTTTTTAGCACCATTACGAGTGAAATATTCCCCAGTAATGAATGATGTCTTTCTCCTGAATTTTTGAACGGCCTGTTTTGGGGGTCCAGAGAGCAAATGGCACATTTGGTTGAACCACAAGCCTTCTCCCAGCCTCGCTTTTTGTTTCCCAACCACTGTAAATTCTAGCATGTGCTGATATAGGATAAGTGTTGTGATATTGTAGAAAATTTCTGTAGTGTAATGTATCTGCTAAATAAGTCTCTCAATTTTGACTTGCCAAGAAATAGTGAATTACTAAGTACCTCCAACTAAGGCGAATGTTTCATGGATGTGTCTGCATGTACTCTGCAAGTAATTTATTTCTCTTCATTGGCATGAATATGTGTCTTACAGCAAAATCCCTGGAGAAGGGAAGGAAGAAACTACCTTTGCTAGTGACACATATCTGGCACAAAATACGGTCTTCAGCCAATGATGAGGTGTTGCACTGTTTCTAATTCAAATATTTCTGTTTTACAGCACAGCTGCTGCCCAAATCTCTTTGCACAGAGCGTGTTTGTAGAGACTCACAACAGAAGTTTCCCATGGGTGGCGTTCTTCACAAACAGGTGAGTTTTTTGGAAGTTTAATGCTGTTCATTCAAGGTACTAGGGGAAAAGGCAATGCTTAGTTATTAGGAAATAATTATGCTAAGTGACATCAGATGCTTCGATCATGAAACCATAAAACTGCATTCTTACTGTGCACTAAATACAGATGTTGATCATCACTAATGAGTTTTTCTTTGGTTTTGCACTGAAATGTGAAGTGGGGAATCTTAATGCATCTATTTCAGTGATGACCTTCAGTGTAAAAACAGGTTTAACTCAGCATGGCCGTTTTGAAAGCCAATGTTGTGTCTCAAGAAATGACCAGCAGATCTGAGTTCCATCCATAGGGTAGTGTTGGAGTTTACAGGGTCTTAAGGCTGGAGATGCTCTGTGGGGCAAACAGGCTGGCTCCAGATCTTCTCATAGCTACCAAGAGAAGCAGGACTTCGTGCAGCCCAGCCCGTCCTGACAAGGTAGCACTAGGATACTCAGAGATAAAAGTGATCGTGCCTTTGTAATCGACACTGATGAGACCTCACCTCGAGTACTGTGTCCAGTTCTGGGCCCCTCACTACAAGCAGGACATTGGGCTGCTGGAGTGTGTCCAGGGGAGAGCCACCAAGCTGGTGAGGGGTCTAGAGAACAAGTCATATGAGGAGAGGCTGAGGGAACTGGGCATGTTTAGTTTGGAGAAGAGGAGGCTGAGGGGAGACCTCGACCTCTACAACTACCTGAAAGGAGGTTGTAGAGAGGTGGGTGTTGGCCTCTTCTCCCAAGGGAATAATGACAGGACCAGAGGAAATGGTCTAAAGTTGTGGCAAGGGAGGTTTAGATTAGATATTAGGAAGAATTGCTTTACTGAGAGGGTGGTCAGGCACTGGAACAGCCTGCCCAGGGAGGTGGTGGAGTCACCATCCCTGGAGGTATTTAAGAAACATGTGATGTGGCGCTTCAGGGCATGCTCTAGTGGCCGAGATTGTAGGGATATTTTGTGTGTGTATGGTTGGACTTGGTGATCTCAGAACTCTTTTCCAACCATGAAGATTCTGTGAAAACTTCCTCTGAAAGCAGAAGATGTGAGTCTTCCCTTAGGGAATGACAGAAAATGAGGTACAGAGAGCTGGTGCCAGTGAGACATGAGAAGGCGGCAACTAAACCCAACAGGGGAAAGATTAATTGTATGAATGAAGCTAAGCTGATGCATGTGACAGTGGGAGTACTGAATGAGAACTTACAATAGAGGAGAGGATTAATTCCAGACAAATGGACCCCAGGGAACACTGATCCTCTGTGGAGCCTTGCAACCCTGGTCCATACTGACACAGGTGCGGTGGATTGTGCTGTGAGGAGGGCTTCCAGGAACTGTTAAGACAATGTTTTGAAATATGTCAGAAAAAAAGGTTTTGTTTTAGCTGGAGCCTTTCTTGCTTGGGTAGTCAGTAAAGAAGTGTGTAGTGGGACTGAGGCCAGGGAAGGAGGTACTAGTTGTCCACAGAAGACTCTTAGTGAAGAAGATTGTTGAAGGAATGTTCCCTTGGCTGGACCTCTTGCTTTCCAGTAATGACCCTTTAACAACTTCTCTATATGAAGGACTTCTAGATGAAGAGTCTGGATCATCAAGCTTAATTGTGTACCTTCCATTAACTTGCCCAGTCACCTTTTTATTTGTTTTGTATTTTTGGCCTCCAGAACATCCTGAGGTGGCAAGTCCCTGGTTGCAATTATGTCCTCATTTAGTTTGTTCTCACCCTGCTACCAAGTAATTCAGTGGATATCCCTTATATTGTATCCAGTAAGAAATATCAGAGAATTACTCTCTTCTTTGTAATACTCACATGTTACTGTGTGTTCCCTCAGTTGTCCCTCAGCATCTTAGTCTCAGGTATTTAATTTGGCGTTCATTTTGGGCAATGAATTTCCTACCTTAGAAATTTCTTTGATGTACTGTCAGAGCAGCTGGTTCATGAGGAGCATGTGTTTAATTCTTTGTGCACATGAATAGTGTAATTGCATTAAAATGTAGCTTGTCAGACCAAAGATTATAGTCTTCATCACCAGTATATCTAGAGATCTGTTCAAACCTCAATGATGCACTGTACATAGTAAAAATAACAAAACTGTGTTCTCATTTAGATGTAGTCACTTATGTGACTCTTTTTTTGTTTGATTTTTGTTTCTCAGAACTAGATTCACAGTTTGAGCAGGTTGTTTAGACTCTCACCCTATGGCACTGCTTGATAAGTTCTTTTCTCCTAGATGTAGGTATTTGCACTCTCCATAGCTCTGGTAGGCAAGCAACATCTGTGTGCCAGAGACTCCTTATATCTCCTGGTTCTCTCCCAACAAGCTGCTTGTGCAATGCTCCCTAGCCCCTAATATCTTGGGGTTTGCATGCGAGTTGTTAGTGACAAATTGTAAGCACAATACTGCTTCACTTAGTTCAAAACAAATTGACCGAGTGTTTTATTTCTTAGGCACGTGAAAGCTGGAGCCGAACTCACGTGGGATTATGGTTACGAAGCTGGAAGCATGCCAGAGACAGAGATTTCCTGTCAGTGTGGAGTTCAGAAGTGCAGGAAAAAAACCTTATAGGCAAAGCTTTCCTACTCTCAACACAGCATGTACCTGGAGATTTATATGCTGGAAGGGACTTCTGCACAGTGAACAGTACACTTCAGTCAGTGGTGCTAATTCTGTTCAACTAAAATGCCTTTCACCTGTTTGTTTTTTAAATTTACATTTAAATGTCACTTTTTTAGTTTACAAAATTAGAACTGTTTGCCATAAGAACAGGCATCAAACTTCTAGATATTTTCTGTGCTCCTAGTCTTCCCCCCTGCCCCCTTTTTCATTCGCAAGCAAAGTTCACCGTGCCCTGGAAGAACTCCTGCTTCTGTGCCATCCGCAGCAGAGACGTGATTGATGAAAAGCAGCAATTATTTGATGTTTTCTGTGCCCTTCCATGATGCTGAGTCATCAGAACTTGGTTTTCTGAAACTCGTGATGAATGCAAGTCTGCCTGTTTGGGAGCTAAGAATTAATAAAATATACCTAAGCCCAATGGATCCAGTGGGACAGATAATCTTGGGCAGAGATGAGATTAATCAGAACGGTTTTGCGGAGCTGTGCTCGTGCTACAAAGTGGGCTGGGCAAGTCCTGCTGCTGCAGGAGAGAAATGACTGGTTTTTGCTGGGTTGCATCCCTCTCCATGTTTGTGACGCACAAGAAAAATCCTTGAGAAATCCAGTGTGCCTCATTTCAGTGTCATACTGTGTAGCGTGGGACAGGTGGGCCACAGAAGTCCTTGCCATGTGGTTTGTTGGTAAGGGAGAAATGAGCTACATGAAGTGACACTGAGCACAGATGCAGGAGGTGGCTCTGAAATAGAGCAAGGAATGGGTGTGCAGGTGAATGTGTTGGAGCCTTGTGCAAAGAAGGGTGATTTAGGGTCACGGATGGGCGATTTAGACCACATGGAGAACCACCACCAAAGGTATCAGCAAAAATGGGTTTATTGAAGTAAGATGTTGTCAAAATGAGACTTAACAAAGTTCAATGGCAAGGTTCGCTCTATTACTTACTGCAGAGTATATAATAATGATTTAAACTTACCAATACAAAATCTTAGTGCGCTGTAATACAAGGCTATGTGCGACATCAGTCACTTACCAAGGGTCTGCAGTTGGTAAGGTGCCTCTCAGCCTTGAGGAGTAACTTTGAGAGGTGTCCCAGCTCAAGGGGAGATCACCGCTGTGCAGCCACACTGCCTACCAGGAAGAGCTCAAAGGCAGCTTACTCAGGCTGTCATATTTATGGAATTAAGTGGTTGGCATATCACCAAATTACCTGTGCTGTAAAAGCACATGCTGTACCCTCAACCTCCTTTGTTCCTTGATAAGTAAGTCTTGGCAGAACCGCCTGCTATTCATGTGTTAATCTCATGGGTGGTGTTCCAGTTTGCAAGCCCATATGCATCAGTGCTCACCATGTCAGCCTGTTCCTGTGAGGGTTTTCAGGGACAGGTTGGAACTAGAGAGGGTTTTGGCCCAGTTATAGCCTAGGCCTTTGCTTCCATTGGAGACCAAACCACACTACCACTAGTTTGGTCAAGCGGTTGAGTGCATCCATCACAGGTGGATTTAAAGCTGGTCCTGCAGCTCGCCTTACCTTCACTTTCTGAATTTGTGGGAGGTCCCGCATGGCAGATCATGCAGAATTGTTTGTTGGTATTTGCTCGGCCATTAGCAGACTTGGTTATTGGATTTTCTGTTTTACAGAGCAGGGGGAAGTGCTATTTGCAAGAGTTAGTGATGATTTAGGTAATTGTATAAGGCAATGAAATATGCCTGTGAGAGGCTGCCGTGGCCGTGGAGAGACATTTCAAGCCTACAGCTGTACTGCAAAATTTTCAAAAGAGGAGCAGGAACCAGCTCTCAGCCCTGAGGCCAAGAGGCAACGGATGGCTTATGTCCACATGGCTTAGCGTTAGCCCTTTTTTAACTCAGTTTTTTAACTGAGTTGCATGTCTGCTGTGAAGCTGTGACAAACACGGTACCTGCGGCCCTAAACTGGTGGCTGAGTTTGTTTTGGATGTGTCCAGCTTAAAAAAAACATGGGGTTGTGTTGCAACAGACGATGCTGTCACCCCTTCAAAGGGTCAGAGCCACCCACTTTTGTCCTAATCTGTCCCCATTCACCCCTCTGCCACTGAGGAGCTCCACCACGTTAGCAGCAGTCAGCATTCAGGTTGGGTGCTTCTTGCTTCCTTGAAGATCTGCCTCTACTCAGAGGGAATACGCCGTAGAATAACTTCGTGCCATGTAAAAGCCTCCAGAGACATGCCAAACGGTGTGGTAAGCACACTGGTAACCCAGCACTGGTGTGAGCCTTTGTCCTGGTTTGAGGTAGAACAGAACCAATTTTCAGTAGTTTTACATTTCAGTTTAGCCACTTTTAACTCTCTGAAATTAAGTGTGTTTTTCAGACATCTTACCTAGCAGGTAAGGTCTGATGTTTCTAGTAAATACCAGGGAGTAGATTGCAGAGAGGCTCCTTATTGCTTGAACAACCAAGGTCAGCTCACTTTGTTACGTACAAAGTTGGAGGGTCTTAAGCAGAAGAGTGTAGAGGGGTCACACCTGTGGGGAGGAGTGGACAGGAGAGGTGACCCAAAACTGGGTATTCCATCCCATCTGTAGATTAGTATAAAAGTCGAGGGATGAAAGGGGTCAGGCTCTTTCTTCAGGGCCGGCATCCAAGGAAGACTCTCTCTGCTCATCTGCCTTTGATCCTGATCCATGCATTCCGGAGCTCAATACTGGATTTGTATATATTGTATATATTTCATTATTTTCTTATTACTATCTTTTCTCTTTATTATTAATATTACATTAAAGTAGCTTAGTTTCTTTTCAACCCGTGCCTCTCACTACAGAGAGCATCTGTCCTTCGTTTAGTGGACGGCCCAAACCACCACAGCCTTTCAGAGAAGTGAGGAAGTGAAAAATACCTGTCCTTAAGCTCAACTTGAATGTGAAAAAGCAGATGGGAATGTCATTAAAGCATCAAGGGCGGGGAGGGGAGGAAGTACATTTTACTGCTGTTGATTGTATTTCCCAGATCAGTGGTAGGAATTACAGTACTGAGCTGGGGAGGAAAAGCTCTTGTTTCTTGCTGCAGAAAACAGACCTGATGCTTCAAAAGATAAAGCGCTTACTTGCTCCGGATGGTCTGCAACTATCTGAGAGGCTGCTGTCAGCGTGGGTTTTACAGTAGGTATGTGAATGAGATGGGGCTTTTTGGCTAGCTGCGTTGATCAGGTCTGTCTTCAGGCTGGTGCTTCTTCATTCTCCTCTATGTGAGGATACAGTAGATACAGCAATTGCAACCCAGCTTTTGGTCCTCTTGCAGTCTGATGTTTTCACTGCTCGTGAATCTAAGCGTAGGTTTTACAACACTGGACCAGTGGACCAGAGGACCAGTGGATTTGGGGGAATTCTGAAACCAATTTAGGCTTTTTCAGGGTGGTTCCTTGTTCCTGTGAAATGGTGTCATCCAGCCATGCAGTGTGGACATTGGTGACTCTCATGGTGAGCAGAACAGTGAGCAGGACTGCTCCCAACATCTGCCTAATGAGCAGGATGTCCCCCCCAACGGAGGGACAGTAGGGATGTGAGGACATATAAGGGCTCCATGACCTACAGGGAAATAAATATTAGTGCCCTAGGTGAGCATACAAATGCAAAGACAGCTGAAGTTCACCTATAGCATAGGTCTGAAAGTGGACTGGAGCACATTGCAATGTGGGGTTTTTTGGTGTGTTTTTGTTTTGGTTTTTTTTTCCAAAAAATTACTGAGCGCTAATTTCCAGCTCCGCCTATTTGAGCAGAACTGTATGGCTCTGTAGAGCAGGGGTTTGGAAGAAGAGATCACAAGGGACTTGCAGTTAGTTTTCATCCACAGAGAATTACTTTTTAAAGTGTTGAAGAACAGACTTGTGTTAGGAAAATTTTCCTAGTTTAAGACTTGCACACTTCTGTGGGTGTTTGAATCCAGTTGACTCATTCAAGCACCATCTAGATAACAGATTCAGGAATTGGTGTTGTGGAGCAGCATCTGGCTAATAGATGCAATTTAATTGCAAGCCTGGACGCAGGGACTGACCTTAGCTCTGAAATGCTGCATCTGGGCAGGTACAAAGGGATTTGGAGTAATTCCAGCAGTGCTGTTCCAGCTACAGTGAAGGCAACTAATCTAAATGTGCTCCATGTTGTGTGTTTGCTGTGGCCTCCCGATGGGCCCAAACGTGCTCGTTATGTCATGGGTGGTGAGCTGTATGGGAGTGAAAATCTTGGCTTTGCTTAGTTCTCCCCCGCAATGAAGAGGAACATCACCTAAGCCTTGGTCTCACTGGCATGATTTTGCCCTAAACTGCTGATGTTCCAAGAACTTGTAGAAACATTGCACCTGTGTGAAGCAGGAGGAGGAAATCTCTCGGTGGTGCGTGCTATGTTGGACCTGCAGAGCAATGAGCTTCTCCCAGAGTTGCTTATGCTTTGCCGTTGGCTGGTGCTGGAGGGGACCAGCTTAGGTATGACCCACCAGCCCTACAAGGAAGGAAGCACCAGCAAAGCCCCACAGAGAGGAGCTGGCACGGTAAGAAGTCTTACATCCCTGGTTGACCATGGACAAGCCAGTCTTTAATCTCTTGACCAAGGAAAATGCTGACCAGTGGCACTGGGACGATCTGGTCCTTGGCATGGTGCGTGAGCACCATGATGGCTGGGGACAAAGCCAAGGTACTGCAGGTCCTCCACAGTGGTGGGACCGACCAAACAAAGGGCCTGATGGTTTTGGGAGGCACACTGCTTTGTCCCAGCCTTTCCTGCCCATCTCTCGAATCAGCTTCTCGGTCAGATGTCACCTTGCCAGCCCCACATTGGGTACCCCCCCTCACATCAGGCTCTTCCCCTGCCGTCCCCCTGACCTGATTAAGGGACGTGTAAAAAATGAACGGGGGGCGATGGGAGGATGCAGGATGTCCCCTTCTTCCTGAAGAAATCCCTCGGGAAATGGCCGCCCGACGGCGGTCGCCGGGCGCGGGTATCGAACCGGCGGCCCCTTGCCCTGGCACTACCCTCGAGGGCCGGAGCGGCAGCCAATCAGCGCCGGGAAGGGGGTGCAGCAGGCGGAGCCCCGCCTCGGCGGCGCCCCCACTGCGCGTGCTCGGTGCCGCGGCTGGGCACGCCCACTTCCGCGCGCGGGAGAGGTGGTGGGGGGGAAAGGAGGTGGTGACCGATCGCGGAAGTGGCGGCCGGGGCGGGCCGGGCTGTGAGGAACCGGGGTGGATGGTCCCCGCCGCCCCGCGGTAAGTCTCGCTGCCCAAGGGGGGTAGGAGGAGGGGGGAACTGGGGCCACCCGGTGTTCCGCGCACCCTCAGCTGCCTGCCTGCATCCCTCCCCCCCCCTCTCCCAGTCACAATGAATGGGCCCGCCCGGGGCTCGGGGGAGAGCGGGGCTGTGAGGGGCGACACCGCGTTTCCCCTCAGCGGCGGTGGTCCTTGTCATGGAGGGCCCCGCCGTGACCGGGCCTGCCTCGTCCCGGAGCCTCCCGGGGCGGCTCCAGGAAGCTCCGGGCTGAGGCAGGCCCGCTCAAGTGGCATCTCGCCCTGCTAGGCCTCAGGGGTGGACCTGGACAAGGACCGGATGTGGACCTGTGGGAGGAGGTCCAGAGGAGGGCCAGGAGGGTGATCAGAGGCTGGAGCACCTCTGCTGCCGGGACAGGCTGAGGGAGCTGGGGTTGTGCAGCCTGAGGAAGAGGAGGCTGCGGGGAGACCTTGTAGTGGCCTGTCGGTATGCAAAGGGGGCTGCGGGAGAGGTGGAGAGAGACTTTACCAAGGCCCTGCAGTGACAGGAGAAGGGGCAGCAGTTTTAAACCGAAAGAGGGTAGGTTCGACATAAGGAAGACATTTTTTACATTGAGGGTGGTGAGACCCTGGCATAGGTTGCCCAGAGAAGCTGTGGATGCCCCATCCCTGGAAGTGTTCAAGGCCAGGCTGGATGGGGCTTTGAGCAACCTGCTCTAGTGGATGAAACCCTAGATGATCTTTAAGGTCCCTCCCAACTCTAACGATTCTCTTATTTTGTGATCTCAAGAATAGGTGAGAGTTTAGATCTAGTGAGGCAGTCACCACTATCGCTTGGATCAGATATGTTAACGTATACGTTTCTAAAGAAAATATTTTTTTATATTCTTAAAAGTATTTCCCCTGTAGCAAGTGAAAGGTGATCAGAAATATAGATATATTTTGTTTTGTTCTGAAAGCCTTGCAAAGGCTGCATGTTTTTATGCTGCTAATGATTTGGGGGAGAATGGTGAGGGGGCTTGTGTAGGTGATGACCAGCAGTGATTCTTTCCTCACAAAGTGCAAATGGAGAACACAGTGAGTGTGAGGTAACTGGTGTGTAATTTCCTTCTTTCTCCCTACTTCAACAGATCACATCTTTCACTATACTGGGGGGAAGAGGAGAGCAGGGCAGGAGCTAGGGCAGTGGGTTTTGGCAGTGTGCTGGAAGTCAGGGGACTTGGGTTTTTTTCCTCGCTCCCCTGCAGGTATGTCGAGTGACATGCTGTGTCTTAGTTGCCCTCTGTGTAAAATGTGTGTATTCACATGCCAGGATGCTTTCAGAAATGGTTCTGGAGAGGAAATACTTAGGCAAAGTGGTAACATTTCAATAAGGTTTATTTGGAAGTAGCACAATTCCAGTGTGCTTGCCAACAATAGTCTAATCCCTTTTTACTTTCTGTTTCGTTTCCCGATTTCGTCCATTTTGTCACAATTGAAAAAAAAAAAAAAAAATCACCAGCCAACCCTGCTCATAGGAAATGGCACAGGTACCAGAGAAGCAGCCAGAGGCACGTGACTGTTTCTTTCTCTCAGCTACTTCTTCTCTGTCTTCTGTTTTGCCACTTCATTTGCTCTGTCGTTACTGGAGGGCAGTAGAGAGGCTTCCAGCTCTTATAGATTATTTCGGTCGCTGTAAGTTCCCACAGTTTGGTCCTGTGGCAGTGAAAGGGAAAGCTGGCTGTGAAGAGCTGCAGAAGGACTTTGTGACAGTGATTTGACTATAAAATAGCAGGTGAAAATCCAGCATTAATAAGTGGAAAATGATGCCTGTGTCAGAGCAACAATCGTAATGCTGATGCCCTCCATACTGATACCACTTAGGAAAGAGATCTGTGAGACTACAATACATAGGTCTGTGAAAGTGACAGCTTCGTGCTTAGAAGCAGTCTAAAATGTGACTGGAATATTAAGAATTATTAAGAAAAGAAGAGGAAAAAAGACAGAGTTGTGAATTTGTGTTCTAAAGGTGTGCTGGTTTAGCCTGGGATAGAGTAGACTTTCTTGCTGGTGGCTGGTAGGGTGCTGTGTTTTGGATTTGGGATGGGAATACTTTTGATAGCACAGTGGTGTTTTTGGTTGTTGCTAGGCTCTCAAGGCCTTTTCTGCTCCTCACACCACCTCACTAACGAGTAGGCTGGGGGTGCGCAAGAACTTGGGAGGGGACATAGCTCGGACAGCTGACCAAAGGCATATTCCATACCATATGACATCATGCTCTGGAATAAAAGCTGGGGGAAGAAGAAGGAAGGGAGAGATGTTCAGTGTTACAGTGTCTGTATTCCCAAGTAACCATTACGTGTGATGGAGCCCTGCTTTTCTGGAGATGGCTGAACTCCTGCCTGCCGACAGGAAGCAGTGAATGAATTCCTTGGTTTGCTTTGCTTGCATGCACAGTTATGGGTTTTACTTACTAAATCGTCTTTATCTCAACCCCTCGAGTTTTCTCACTTTGATGCTTCTGATTCTCTCCCCCATCCCACCGAGAGGGGACTGAGTGAGCGAGCAGCTGCGTGGTCCTGGTTGCCGGTTAGGGTTAAAGCGTGACAAAGTGGCAGCCCACCCTTTTGAAGGGCGTTTGCTCCTATTGGAACACAGCAGAAGTAGAGAAGAAATTAAGAAGTGACAGGGATAATCAGAGATGTGGAGCAGCTTCTGTACAAGGAACAACTAAATATTTTCAGATTCTTCAACTTGAAAAAGAGGCAGTCGGAGGAAGAATAAGAGATCTATGCTGTCACAAGTGGAGCTGAGTAAGGAACAATGATTTCTTACCTTTTCAGACAGATCCTGGGGTGTCAAATGGAATCTGTGAGCAGCAGGCTTAACACCTGCAAAAGCAAGAGCTTGCTTAGGTGAAATGTAATTAAACTGTGGAACTGCAGCCATGCCCTTAGACTCTCCCTTTTTGCTTGAGAGCAACCATCTGCATCTGTTGCCCCGTTTAGCTCCGTGTCTTCTCTGTAGCAGAAAGCTAGAGAAGAACACAGGACTGAACTCGGCTAAACAGGGCAGTGGGTGCAGGCTGGCTTCTTCTGCAGTGAGGAATGGGCAAGAGCTGTCCTTCCACCACTTCAGGGTTCCTGCAAAGGCACTGGAGCTACCCTAAGGCTGACGTTGACCAAGTGTCTTCTGTTTTCTTGCAGCACCAGGCTTCTTCCTGAGCCTGTAAGAACACCAGGGACTGTAGACTCCATCTTTAGCCTCTTCCTCACGAAATTCCCAGAGCCTCCGGAACTGGATCCTCTGACTGGGCCTGAGCAGGGCCTATGTATCTGCATCGATTCCAGGTATTAGCTTGTTGCAGAGAACTTTTCCTGAGTTCTAGACCATTCAAACTCTAACTTGTTCGGCTTTTTAATTTCTTTGTGTCTTTGTTTTCTATTGTATTTCTAATATTTCTATTTCTACTTGTTTTTATTGTGTTTATTTAATGCTTAAGTTCTGGAACTGATGTGATGGTCACTATATAGATGGATTCCTGGAACTGTTCAGGGCCAGGCTGGATGGGGCTTTGAGCAACCTGCTCTAGTGGGAGGTGTCCCTGCCCATGGCAGGGGGGTTGAAACTAGGTGAACTTTAAGGTCCCTTCCAACCCAAACCATTCTATGATTCTATGATACTGGAAATCACTCCCTCCCTTACCTTGCTCACAAGAGGTAGGACAGGGGGGAAAAAAACCAGATGTGTGTGGAGGTGAAGTGATTTGCTGTGATTAAGTGAATTCTCAGTGACAGAGGTGAGGGAGGTGTGGGGGGGAAATCCCCTTCTACTCTGGTGTTCTTCTCACTTGAGACTACTCCCTCCACTTTGTGGAAGGGAGATGGGTTTCTAATGAAAACAAAGGTTGGCAGTTGAAAGCCACAGAAAGGTGTGCAAGATTTGCTAGACTGTGAGATTTCTTGCCTGTTTTGTACTTGGACCTCACTGCCTCTTTCTCACTACAATAATTTCACTTCAAATATTCTTATTTCTTGGAAGTAAAATCACACTTTTCTTACTGGTATTGTACAGGAGTTTGTGCTGTCAGAGGTGACATCTCCAGCAAAGGGCAGTTTGGACTATCACACCTAGTAGGAGTGCCAAAGTGTTGAAGATTTCTGCAGTGGACTTGGACAAAAACCACGGACAAAGTAAAACTTTTGCTACTAATGTGTGGCGTGAGGCTCTGCTTTCCTGTGTTTGTCCTGCTTATTGTATGATAGTTGCATCAATTGCTTTGTGTTTTGTCCCAGTTTTCCTGCTCCAGGTGTTTTCTAGATAATGGCGAAGATGGTGAGAAGAACATGTGCGTTTTGTCCAGACAGGGAGGCTGGTTCTGTCATGTATATTGCTGAAGAGCAAGATATTGCAGCTCATCAGGATTGTCTGGTGAGTGACTTTCAGTTGGTTGGTATCTAAGAGGAAGGGAGAAGAGGAACTAAAGGGGAAGTGATGCAAGTTCAAATCCAACTTTATTAAACAGGCTGCGTTCTTATATATTCTTTCTGTTCTCCTGTACATGCGATCACGCGCCGAGCACGCAAGATAGAGCAAGCTTGATTGGGTAGCACGCGTTGTCCACGCGCCCTTAGTCTTTAAGTGATTGATTAGTCTAAAAAGATGCTATATGCATATAATTCTTGCTATCAGCATTTTCCCATCCACATTTTCTTACTTTTCTGCTAACTTAAATTGCAACTGTATCCTTTAGTTTTAGCTCATGGCCTTGGTTCACAAACCCTGGTATTCATTCAGTATCGCTAAGGCCCCAACAGGGAAGTTTCCATTGCTTGTCTGGTTTTGACTCAAAAATAGTGTCTGAATTAAAAGGTTGGTTATCCAAACCAGCAAGCTTGTATTAGATTGAAAAGCAGGAGGGCTTGGCTAGAATTTTGGAGAGGGGGAGGACACGGCTGCAGAGCTGGACGCGTTGATATGTGGTGTTTTCATGCATGTCTGTTCCTGATCGATATTTCTAGACACACGTATAGTCCAGCAGTAGGAATTGGTCTTCTTGAGACACTAAATTGAGGCTTCACACTGTGACCACAGAACGTTGTGTGCTTAATTAAACGTTTGCAGGAAAATATTCACAGTCTGTGCCTTACATAAAAAAAGGAAGAAAACTATCAGAGGTTGATTATATGGAAATATCTGTGAAGCTCTAAGCATGTTGTAATCCTAGAATGTGTTTACTTTTCTTACTGTCAAAATGCTTTCCCTGTATTCTGGGATCATAGTGGAGCTGGGATATTAGTGTGTGTTGGAATCAATTTCAGATGCCATATTCTCCCTTCAGTGAGGGTCCCTTAGTGCAGAAGGTGCATCTCCTGCTAGAACAACTTTCTGGCTTTCACTGTTGCAGCCTTCTTATTCTTGCAGGTTTTATGTTTACATCTTTTGTTTTTCTATTATGTTGTTGTGGTTTTTTGTAGCAGAATGGTTTAGAAACATATTTTTACAGTGTTACTTGGTTTTTTTGTTTGAAACGGGGGTTTTGTTAGAGTTATTATATGTCACCTTCTGAGCAGACAGACTGTGCCTGCCAGTTGACATAAGGGTAGTTCACTTGTGTTTGGAATTAGCTGTATATAATGATTAGAAGGAAGTTGCTGAGAACTCCCCCTTCTTCACTTCTTGTCATGGCTCAGCACTCCTGTGGGAATCAAAGTGGCCAAAATGTGTACCTATACATTTTTTGTGGATTTTCACCCAGGCTTTTTATAATGTTCCTGTGTTTCTCATGCAGTCAGCTGTTGTCAGCATTGGACTGTGTGGAAATTTTATGACAGAGAAATATTGTATCCCTCTGTAAGGCTGAGGAATTGGG